GGCATTGGATATTACCCAGCCTCACCATCTAATATTGGTTTAATCACAATTCTATGTAACGTACTAAAATTTATTTTTATACATGTTTCAATGTTTGATTTCAATTTTACAACTCAACATCTATGCGTATTAATAAACAGAATAAAAAATTATTTATATTCAACTAAAATTGAATARGAATCAAAAAATATACAGAACGTATAGTATTTATGCTACCATAATTCTGGTCGCATTTGGCAATTGCATTATTGCTAATTTATAAATCTATACGAAATCGCATACAAAAACTCACATAGTAATCGAATACTTATTTCTATTTGTTATTACAAAATTAAATCRCATAGAAATCACTTTGTGAAATCTTAGAGAACATACTTTTAAACACTTTTGTTCATAACATCTATTGGAAATCAYATAGTAGTAGTTATGTGATGTCACATTTGAGACTTATAAATACAATCGCTGGGATATCAAAATCACATTAATGCAYACAGGGCTGTTACCATGATTAAATACATCACTCATAAGAATATTACTTTCGATATCATCCTCATTTCGACTGTCGAACGGAGGTCCTAGTTTCGATTTTATATTTTCATTATATGTGTTTTTCAAATAGAAAAATGTGCCTCCAATTCGTTCAATTCCAAAAAAATTGTAATTTTCCAAATAAAATATATTTGGGTGTATTCTTAAGTTTTCTTCGGCTGTTAGTTCTTCAGTCCATAGTTCACGTAGTAGAAATGACATACGAAAGAATGTACTCAATAATACCGGACCCGGTAATTTTAAAATAGGATCATTCTAGACAATAATATAAGGAAATTTAACACTAATATCACAATATTTTAAATCATACATTATAATTTATAACGTATGGATGCAAATATTTTTATTTATTATCATATGATAAACATAATTTATAATATTATCACCAAAATATCAWTAATATTCAAAATTATTTTTCTAAAATGTCTGTATAGATTAATTTCATAATGACACGAACGCTTTCAGAAGAATTTTATAATAGCTAAATGAAAAAAATTACAACTGAAGTTAACTATTTGATATGTAATACCTATTATATTAATCAATATTGAATTAACCAATTGGAAGATAATATTAATAGTGTTAAGTCCCTGCTTTGGAGTTTATAGTGACCCCACGGCGCAAAAA